GGCTTTGTAATCCTGGGGTCTCGGGTTCGAATTTATAACTTGTGTTGGGCAAGTCCGTGGTCTAGGCAACACGGAGTTTTCCTCCGTGGCATCCCAACAATTACTTCATTCACACACAGAAGAAGGCAATGGTAACCACTTCTGGATCATCTGCCAAGAACTTATATGAACAGGTCCCAGTCCGAGAAAAGGATGGAAGGATCCTGTTCATATGGACCTGTCGTCAGACAGAACACTAAATAATAATAAGATGAGGTGGTCTAGCGGTTAGAACGCTGGCCTTGTAATCCTGGGGTCTCGGGTTCGATTCCCGGCGATGCCCGAATTTATAACTTGTGTTGGGCAAGGCCGTGGTCCAGGTATCACGGAGTTTTCCTCCGGGGGTTTCCCCGGTTTCTCCGTGGCATCCCAACAATTACACAGAAGAAGGCAATGGCAAACCACTTCTGTATCGCCTGCCTAAAAAACATATATGAACAGGTCCCAGTCTGAGAAAAGGATGGAAGGATCCTGTAAAGGAGATGGCGTAATAAAGAAGAAGTGGATATTCCCCCTGTTTGATTAGCACAGTTTATTTTGGTATGAAGGTCATGTCATTGTTCATCTGTTTTAAAGTTTTGATTTATTTCTCCAGGAAAGTACTGAAGTAAAAACTTGAAATAGTCTTTAGTTGCCCTCATTCAAATCCTTATAAAATTAGGAGAATGACGTGGGTGGGACATGTAGCATGTATAGGAAAGATGCAACAAAATTTAGTTTGGAAATTTTTGAAAGAAAGAGCCTTCTTGAGAGGTTAATATTAAAATGGACTTTAAAGAATTAGTCTCATGTGACCATGGTAATGGAAGGTTCTGTAATAGGCAGCAAATTTTTTGACCATCTGAGTGGCTTCCTACTTTCAAGAGGGACTCTGTTCTGTGGTTTTGGTTAAGGATAAAAACTCTGGAAAGTGATACAGCTTATTTATCTGTGGATCTGCGCAGGTAATGTGCATGCAGTACTGGCCAGCATCGAAAGAGAAGAATGAAACACATGGAGGCATCTCAATATCCATTCTCCATGAAGAAGAATTGGCCAACTTCCACATCCGAACTTTCCTCTTAGCTAAGAAAGAAGAAGGCGCTGTAAGGTAAAGACTGCGACAGTATTACACCACGTACCTCAAGGACAAGCTCACACTGGTACAATTACTGACATGGACTGCCATCCTGATAACAACTTGCTTATCTCTAGTAGTGTGGATGGACATGCTGTTGTGCTCAAAACTCAAACTGGAAAGGTTAGTAGGCCTGTATTATTCTGACAGGAACTCTGAAGTACGAGGCTCGTCCTTAAAGTAAGTTTCCCTGGGGCCGTTTACAGAAACAAAACACAATTTCATGTAAATATTTATTGCAACAGATACAGCAAGTGTCTAGCTATTTTTCAACATATTCGCCACCGGATTTGAGACATTTGTCATACCGTGGGACCAACTTTTGAATACCTGTGTCGTAGAAGTCTGCCGCCTGGGATTGGAACCACTGTGTGACAACCATCTCCGCCTCTCTTTCATTCTCAAAACGCTGACGCTGACGCTGACCGGACAGGAATTTCTTGAGGTGTAGGAAAAGATGGAAATCACTGGGAGCGAGGTCCGGGCTGTAGGGTGAATGATTAAACACCTCCCAGCTGAACTCCTGCAGGAGACTTGCTGTCCGTCGAGCCGTGTGCGGCCTAGCGTTATCACTGACCGCACTTCACAGTCGGCGGGAGCTGGAATAAGAACCTCCATCTTCAACAGCTGCAACGATGCTACTGTGAGAACGCGGGAGGTGCCGTTAGTGCATGCGCCATGCTATGTCATTGCTCTATCACGTACGCACAGTCGCTTCGCGCAATATAAGGTTTGCTAGCTGTGGGACGAGTGGGAAACTTACTTTGTGGACGCGCCTCGTAGCTGAGGTGGGGCTGAGTAGTTACAAATATGAGGCTCTGAGGAACACTTTAGGAACTCATTTTCTCATCCGAATAATACAACAATTACAAAGATTTTTTTTTCTTTAATTTTGACGTAGCAGGAATTGGATCATCTGCTGCTAGAAACTAAGTACAGTTTTTAATTTTGGATGAAAACTTATTTTTTATGTATTGCTGGGCCCTTATATTCATAATGCTGGAACTCACCCATTTTTCTAATACCTTTGCTTTTCTTAGAATGTAGTTACTTACCATTGCGTTCCATGTTTATGGAATTATTAATTAAAACTGTCAAATTCATGTGAATACACTAACTGGACACGATATGAACTTGAATAAAAAATTTCTTGGATATTATCCATCGTCTAGTAAATATAAAACGTAAAAAGACGTTTCGGAGATGGGCTAATCCCTATCTCCGGAGATAGGGATTAGCTCTATCTACTGGGCCCAACTGTGTAGGAACCTGAAGACGGATATAGAGTCCCATCTCCGAAACGTCGTCTTACGTTTTATATTTACTAGACGATGGATAATATCCAAGAAAAATTTTATTCAATTGACTCTTCACCATCGTCAAGAAGTTTTAGATTTGATATACAATATGAACTATCTAGTATCCTGACAGACTTCAGACTGCTACAGCCGAAACATATCATCTCCCATCTTTCATATTTTTACCTTGTATGTTACGGCATACTGCTATTTGTTGTTAAATTACAGAAAAAGCTAATCAGGCATCCTCTGTTGCCCACAAGTTTCTGTTCTTTTAATACGATACAAAACACAGCATAAGACATCTCATGGAAATAACACTGCATGTAACAGTTAAAACAATCATTATTTATAACACCTATTTTGTCATGTTCAAATACAATTTGGCTGACAAGATGATGCTTTTCATATTTATATCTTTTATAAAATTTAATAACAGGAGATTTTATCTGAAGTTATTATGTAAATGATAAGAATATGCTGGTATTTTAATACCAGTACTTACATTCTTTCATATTTTAATTGTTAATTAATATTATTGAACATAATCAATAGTTGTGCTAGTATAAAGTAAAATAACCCCAAGGATGTCTTGACAGAGCTGAAAAATGTTGTGTAAAAACCAAATATCTCATTATAACTTCTTTGACACTGATGTAATGTATCACATTTGATGGCTTTCATTAATCATTTTATAGACTGTTGCATTTACTTATAATTTTAATATTATTATCTTCATAATCACCACCACCATTACCACGACTATCACCAATGTAATTATTACTACTACCGTACCACTGTCATCCTTAGTGGATAGTGGTTAGTGTGCTCACCACTGGACCCAAGGTTTGCGGGTTCAAACCTGACCGAGGTCGATGGATTTTTAAGGGTGATAAAAATTCGTAGCACAACTACCTTCAGAGGGGAAGTAAAGTCGGTGGTCCCATGTCGTAGATTTACGGCATGTGAAAGAATCTTATGAGCATGAATGAGATGTTTCGTAAGCAAAATTCAGCGGCCCTTTCTCACTACTAGATGGCTCTGGCAGTCAAATCAGGATTGAGTAGAAATTGTACAGAGTCTGTGGGCTGGTCACTTACTACTCACAAATGCTCGCTTCAAAGACTAGGAAACCTCGGAAGACCCACAACTGGGTTGTAGAGCCTAGGAACAACAACTACTGTACCATTACTACTACTATGGTTAATCCTTTATTGTTATTTGTAATTGTTATTGTGATTATTATATAATAATTATCTGTATCATTTACCATCTGTGTCACCTTAATCAACTTCGTTATTGTTGTTGTTATTAAAAATAACCATGTAATGAAGATGTATGGGGGAGTGGAGGTAAAGCATTCTTAATCTTGGCTGTAAATGGAGGTGCTCCAGCTGCCTTATTCCTGGGGAAAGCGCCTTTAGTATTAAGTGAAAAGGAGGATGTGTGGGCCCCAGACACTGGACACTGGGTACGACCCATTCTTCAAGTGCCTGAGCACTGCGGGTCCCAACTTTTTCGTTGGCTTGATTTATAGATATTTGGTAGGACTCCTTGGACGAGGGATCGGCCCGTCACAAGGCCTCTACCTGTACACAGGACAACACAACACAGAAAAACGTGGACAAACATCCATGGCTTGAGTGGGATTCGAACCCACGGTCCCAGCGACCAAGCTGCACAAGGCCCACGCCTCAGACCGCGCGGCCACTGCGGACCCCGGGCTCCAGAACCTGTTTGAATACAGTGGCGTAGCGAATTGTCCTGCCTTTGTCAGAAATCAAATGCTGGTTCACTGCATTGTCCTGACTTACACTGTTGTTGTTCATATTGGTATCGTGTTTGTTAGTTAGGATAGCTCAGTCAGTAGTGGCTGTCTGTCTGGTTACTTATAATAAGGGTTTGGTTTGTGCTGGGGGCAGAGATTTCTGTCTGCACCATGTCGAGGCTAGCTCTGGGGCAAACCCACAGTGGCTACTGTGAAGTGTTTCAACAGAAAAAAATAAGCTATACCTTGACATTTCTGTGTACTTTTATGTTGTACCAAATAGTAACTTTTGTGTTTGTGATTTATTTAATGATGCTGTGAATAGTTCAGACTGTCTAGCGTCAATGAAAAGTAACTTTCACCTTTACCTATTTGTTATCTATTATTGTTAATATAATTATCATTGTTGGTGGTGCATAGCCACTTTAAGAAGTATAGTTTATTCTATAATAATACATTTATATCTGAAGAAGGTTCCACTAACATGACTGTAATTCCTTCAGGACGACAAAGAAGAAAGACGAATTCTCCAATTCCACTACACAGAGTGGCCAAGTCACACCTGCCCATTTTCAAACTCGGTGCTTGAATTTCGGCGACGGATACGTGCCGTTGTCGGATCCCATCAAACTGGCAAGAATGGACCAATGGTGGTGCATTGCAAGTGAGCATAAGTAAAATAGAATCATAAGTTATCAGTTTATTTACTATATTTTAAAATAACTGTAAGAAAGAAAAATACTAAAATAAAATAAAATAAAAATAAAACAAAAAGGAAGCAAACTGTAGTGTTCATAATTACAGATTTGTGCATCATATGTATTCCACTCAGAATACATGTAATTGAATGGAGGTCTGTAAAATCATAATTCAAATACATTACATGATTTAATGTATATAATTATGTGTTAACAATGCTACTCAGGAAGAATAATATTTTCTGCTGTAATTAATGCCTGTGAACATTACAATTATTTTATATATGTATTTCAGTGCGTCTCCACACCTGGTAGCTGGAAATTATTTTCTGAAAGATTTTTTATGCTATAATATTATTTTGAATGTTTTTAAGTGATTGAAAATTAGATTCTTCTACTGAGATTTATAATTTCAGGAACATGAGAAGGTCTGGCAGGAATAATTTAGGTGACTTCAATGGAAATTCTATCATTGGTACTTGCTTTTGAAAAAAATTGCATTGCACAAATTCTTATGCAGAAATGTATATTGTGATAATAAAAAAAATCACTTGTCTGGCCAAAATTTTTATAATTTTTATGGAAACACTGCTATAAACATTTTAAAACTCTACAGTTTATTGTTTATTTTACAGGAACATATTTATGATTTATAATTTATTTAATATCAGAACATTAGGTCAGCATGGTTTTGACCTTATTGTTAGACTTTGACCCCAGTCTGCACGTTTTCTTTATTTGTTTTTGGGTCATACCAGAAGACTCAGATCTTGTCACCAGTCAATGTTTATTAAAAAATGTTGATTCTTTCAACAGTATTTTCTGAAGAGTGAGAAAATTGTTTTTCTTCTGATTACCCCCCACCCCCACCCCCACCCCTGAGATGATCATGACAGTAACTTTCTTCATGATCAGATATTTGTTTAAAATTGAGCTCATAGTTTCTCATACTCAATTTTCCTTCTTCTAAACAATCAATTAATGATTATTTATACCATTTCAGTAATATTTTCTACAGTTGGATCATTTCTTAAAATAGTTAGGTGGATAGATCTTTTGTTGATTGTAGTTTTTTTTCTTTCTGTTTTTGTCTTTAAATTGCTTAACTCACACATGAACCTGTATTGTACTTATCATAACAATTTATAAATGTCAGTTGCAATTTTCTTTAACTTAAATAAAATTTAAATAGTATTAAAAATATATTAAAATTGGCCGTCAATCACAATATAAGATAATTAAAAGATTAAAATATCATTTTTCGTTCCTTATCGAGTACTCGATTTACATATGGAACATTTACGACGACATGTTTCGGCTATATCATAGAGCCGTCATCAGGTGTTATGTTATAAACTTTTTAACTGAATTACTGATTTTTAATGCTTTTTTGGTTTTCATTTTTCTTATCATTTTCTCGTCCTTCATATTGTATCTTCATCCGTTGTTGTGTCATATGTCACTAATATAATTGCATGTTGTAGTGATGCCAATGTTGTGTATATTGGACCGAGAAGTAATATCGCAGCAGTATTTGGAGAGATTGGAGGTATACTGTATCGGATCGTGGCTGGTTAATATATTTTTAATACTATTTAAATAAATCACAATATGACGCACTTACAATATCTTATAAATAAAATTTAATGTTTGTTCTAACATTTTATCTTGTTTGATTTTGACAGGTAAAACACCAACATACTATATTTGCACCAACCAAAAATTAAACTGAATTTCAATTGTTTGACAAAGAACTGCCAAATCTTGTAGTCACATGCTCTGAAATTTGCCACCTCACGCACGCACGCACGCGCCATTTGTATGTGTGTGAATTGAAGTTATCATTTGCAATATTAATCATATGGTCCCTTTCATATTTTTTAGTGATGGAGGTGGAAGATCAGGAGTGTATCTAGCTATAGATGCAAACTTGGAGCTGGCTGAAGAGGAAGATTGTTTCGATGTGTTCGGATACCTCAAGAAACTCAGGCAGTCCAGAAAAGGGCTTATTGAAAATTTGGTATGAATAATTTCATATAGATTACGTAATGCTCGTTGAATAAATAATTTGACAACAGAAAATATGTATGAAACTTTAATTATATTGAGGCAGACTGCCACTGCTGTTACGGCTTTTATCTCAGCATCGTACTAGTAAACTGATACTCAACAAAGTTCTCTTCGTGTTCTTTACATCTTACACATTCAAATTGATCTTTTTACCTCATTGTCTTCTTCAGTGTTTTTAAGGTCTGCAAATCAAAAGGTCATAAGACAGGGCTGTATATAGGGTGGTCATCCAGTACCTCCTAGTACCACTTGTTTATGATGTCCTGTGTTTGAGAGCAACATCAGTTGTCCCTATGCAATTGTCACCATTAATCTGTTTCATTTAATAGTAAATATAAGCATATAATGACTCCCTTGGTCACAAAAGGAACAGAAAAGTCCACATTGAAATGTAAATGTTTCTACACTGCTTAAAATGTCTTGAGTGCTGTAGACAGTTATTAGCCTGTTTAGAATTTATGTGTACTTTAGTTTGTGTGAGATGATATAATGATTACTTTCACCTAATCTGACACACACACATTCATCACTTATTTATTTAATGCCTCTTATAGGTAAAGGGCCGCCACGGTGGTCTAGTGGTTAGAACGCGCTGGCCTTGTAATCCCGGGGTCTCGGGTTCGATTCCCTGCGGTGCCCGAATTTATAACTTGTGTTGGGCAAGGCCGTGGTCTAGGCAACACGGAGTTTTCTTCCGTGGCATCCCAACAATTACTCCATTCACACACAGAAGAAGGCAATGGCAAACCACTTCTGGATCATCTGCCAAGAACGTATATGAACAGGTCCCAGTCCGAGAAAAGGGTGGAAGGATCCTGTTCATAATATGTCGCCAACCTCCTGTAAAGGAGACGGCGTAATAAAGAAGAAGACGAAGAAGATCTGTAAAGGGCCTTAATAGCAATATTAAGCATCACCTCAGTATACAATCTAATTTTTTGATGCTATGAAGTAGACAAGTGTTGGAATGTCAGAAATGATATTCAGTTTCTTGCAGAAGCAACAGAATGCGTATGTTAATTTGCGAACTAAATTCATGCGTCGAACTGGTGTGTGTTCGCACACATGTGTAAATGCATGCATGTATGACTATAAATTATCAATTATGTCCTTCCAATGTGTTGAAATTAATTCTTGTAGCGTGTATAGATTAAACTAGAGCTGTGATAATTTAGTTGGTAAGGTGACTGGCCTTCGACTGAATGCGCTGGGGTTCATGTCTTTGTAGGACATTGATACTTTCTTTTTCACATACTAATTATGCCGGTACTGGCTGACTACTCACACACATGCAATACTGTGGTTGGGAATGCATGAAGTCTTACCTTATGCCTTCATATAATTTTACCTTTATATACATTAAATTGTTCCCGAGTCTTTGAAGAGTGTTCTTATTATTTTACAGGACCAGTACAAATTTGTATACGATACGCTGGAGGAGTTTGTGGTTTGTGGAACTTCGTGGTTTCCTGTAAAAGAGCTTTCACAGAGGCTGAAGCAGAAATCCATGAAGAACGTCATAACCAAGATTAATGAATATCAGAGAGAGTATCAGGTACGTCCTTGATTAAGTATCCGAGAGCCATTAAATGTTCTCTTAAGTTTTCCTTACCAGAAATGTGAATTTATTTATTTTTTAGCTGTGATTGATATATCTTATTCACACACACAGGTTACTACTGGTAAGGAAACCTCTTGATTTTTATTAATATTAGTAAAGAGAAAATGTCTTATGATATCTTGGCAGCAGAACCTGTGTGTGACTTTTAATTTATAGACATTATAAATTAGCGTCGAAGTATACAAACAGGCATCCTTTCCCGCGGCTAAAGCATGGCTGGGGCGTGATGCTGACTACTCAGCCCCATCTAGTGCTGAGGGCAAGGAAGGGAGGAGCTATACCTCCACTCACCCCAAGCGCCTACATGGCGTATAGTGAGACAGCTTTACTTTTTATAATGTAATCGTTGTATGAAAATAGTGAAACCGAAATTGTGAAATTCATCAACATTTAAATACAGTATGTGTTTGCTTTCTCTCCCAGATAATATGAAGGAGGGTATGCAACCAGAGATGTTTTCAGTGATTTTACGACTGCTGCCAGTAGTTTGAATTAAAGAAAAAGTTGCATAATATTACAATTACTTTGCAGCAAATCTGTAAACAAACACCACGTTACACCATCGGGGACTGTGCAGGAGGACACCGTGGTGACAACAGAGAGAAAAACAGGGACGTTCTCATTGTGCCTCGTGAGTACCTTGTATTGCTGTGATGTTATACAAATTAAATGATAATATAAAGCAATATCATTATGATTTGTATCCAACATGCAGGAGCAGCTGGTGTGTCTTTGCATAGTTAAGAACTTCGTTGCCAACGGTGGCAGTGCATTCTCTCTAACAAATTGCCACAGTCTGCATAAGTGAGAGTGGAAACTTTGAGAAATGAAAATATCTGGCATTTGCCGTAAGGACCATTCTACATAAATTAATGCATCTCACAGCCCAACCACTGCTGATTTGCATGAAAATTGCAGAGACGTTAGACATCATGGATAAAATCTCCGTACCAGTTTTCGGCACTCTTAGTGACAGTGGTGTGAACTGTCACAAACGTAATAGTTCCAAGGAACTCTTCCTTCACCTGCTGTAATATTTCTGAATCTACAGTTGAAGGTGCTCCTGATACTTCTTTTTCAGGTAGAATTTTAATGATTTTTTCCTTTAATACACCCTCAATTTTTGCCAGTTTAGCTGACGATTACTTTCTCTCTCTTCATCTCCTCAGTTTAATCACTGATTCACCAACTCTCATCTGTCATTGAGTGACTGCAAAGTTTTCTGTCTCACAACACAGTTTCCTTTTTCTACTTCCTATTTTTATCCATCGTCATACCCACTAGAACTTCAATAGTGGACTGCAACTTTAATGTTTATGACATTTAACACACACCAGCATGTCATTAGCTTCCAAGTTAGCCCAAAATGAATTCTCTAGCTCACTTATGACCAACATTTGAGCAGGTTTTACAAGTTGTATCATGTCAAAAAAGTGCTTTTTTAAAAATTATGGATGGTAATACAAGAAAATTATGAGGAGCAGAGAACTAACTTTTTGTATTTTTACTTTAATGCACAGAGTCTACAAGTTCACAAAATTTTGTTGAAAGCCGCAGGGGTCAGGTTGAAAATTGCGCTTCTGTTTGTGTTAGTTTGACATGGAATGACCCAAAACATGATCAGAATGTTTGTCTCCAGTTGAACATTCTTGTGTTAGTCTGTACATGGCCAGTTGACCCCTTGGCTTAAAATGGAATTTAAT